TGTGTTTCTCCTTTACTCACACTGCTGCCACACTCAACACGTTTTTAATTGAAATATAGTTGATTTACAATATTATATTAGTTTCAGGTGTGATTCAATACAATAGTGATTTGATATTTTATAGCTTATACTCTATTTAAAGTTATTAGAAAATAATGGCTATATTTCCCTGTGCTGTGCAATATATCTGTTGCCTATTCATTTAATACATACTGGTTTGTATCTCTTAATCTCCTTCCCCATCTCATCCCTATCCCACCCCTTTCCACTGGTAACACTAGTTCGTTCTCTGCATCGGGGAGTCTGTTTCTGTTTGTTCATATACATTCATTTGATTTCTTTTTTAGGTTCCACATATAAATGATAACAAGAATATTTGTCTTTCTCTGTTTTATTTCACTAAGCATAATACTTTGTAGGTCCACCCATATTGTTGCAAATGACAGAATTTTATTCTTTTTCATGACCTGAGTAGTATTCTATGATAGTAATATTCCACTGTGTGTGTATATGGAATATAGTATATAATATATACAAGTATATAATGTATACAAGTGCATATATATACATTGTATATGTGTATTTTTATATATATGTGTGTGTATAACTATCTATCTATCTCACATCTTCTTTATCCATTCATCTGTTGATGGACACTTACGTTGCTTCCATATCTTGGCTATTGTAAATAATGCTGCTATGAACATTGGGGTGCATGTATCTTTTTTTTAATGTATCTTTTTGAATTAACAACACTCAACATTTCTGACACCAGAATTGTGTCTTTTTCTCACATCAACCAATTCTTTAGGACACGAACTGGGTGGCCTACAATTCAATGAAATCTGATTCTAACTGGAGTTAGCACAAATCCCTCAGGTTGAGGGCTCAGTCCCAAAAGACTGTCCCCAACTTCAGATGCCAACCGCAAATAGTAGGTTCCCAGGTTACCTACAACTTCTGTCTGATTTGGCTACAGATCCGAAGTTCCTATGACTGCTCTTCTGGAATTTGATCATTTGCTAGAACAGTTCATAGAACCCAGGGTAATACTTACTTAACCAGTTTATTATATCTTCAAGGACATGATAAGGAATACAGACAATGAGCAGCCAGATGACGAGGTACACAGGGAGAGATCGGGAGGGGTCTGGCACAGAAGCTTCTCTCCCTGAAGAGTTGAGGTGTGCCATCCACCTGGCACCTAGGTGTATTCTCCAACCAAGAAGATTCTCCAAACCCTGAACTTAAGGAAGCACAAGCCACTATTAACTCAATATCCAGTCCCTCTCCCCTTCCTGGAGGATGGGAGATGGGCTGAAATCTCCAAGCTTCAAATCCCAGTTTGGCCTTTCTGGTGATCAGTCCCCGTCCTGAAGCCAACCAGGAGCCCCACCAACATCATTTTAATGAGGTGGGGTGGAGCCCCACCTCATTAAAACAAAAGACACTCCTTTCACCCAGGAAGTTTCAAAGGATTTAGGTGCTCTGTGTCAGGAAACAGGGTCAAAGACCCAATTTTAGAACAAAAGATGCTCATGGTACTCTTATCTCTTAGGAAAATACAAGGGTTTTTGGCACTCTGTGCCAAGAAACCAGGCAGAGTCCAAATATATATATATAATTTACATATATATAATTATTATTATATAATATATATATATTTGCTGTTATCTGAGAACCCACCTCGCAGAGGTCTTTCCAAAGAAAAGCCATCTCTAATACAAGAAGCATTTGCAGGAGTATTCACAAGAGCAAAACACTTGGAGACAGCCCAGGAAAGAGGATGGATAAATGGGATTCTCCACACAGTGGATCCTTGTCTGCAGCCCAATAGTTCTCCCTTCTATGGATGCAGTGATGGAAACCAGGGAAGGGTCACAGTTTACCCTGCAGAGTGTCTTGTTCCAGGATTCAAGCCATTTGTCCACAGCACCTTCCAGTTTCTCAGTGAGATTAATCCTTACCAGTTTCCTAGTGGAAACCAGCTCACTAATGTGTTCCAGATAACTGGCACACCTTTTTTTGCCTTGGCTGCATACAGAATCCTTTCTCTCCAAAGTGCCCTCCAAACTGGTCCCGCAAATAAGTTCTCCCTACACCTACACGCTCCATCTACTGGGAGGAATGAATTGTAAACGTGACTTTTCTGGTTATTTGTTAATAAAACTGCATTCTGCAACTTTCAGTCGCCAGACTTCGGTCCAATTTATCTATTATATTTCTAGTGATTTAAAGAAATGATTACATATTATTTAAATATAAAGGGTCCCTTTCTTCAGAGACGTCTTTTTTTTAAATTAAACATAATTTTTATTTGGTCTCGGAATATTTTGGTACATAAAGTGAAAGCTGGCTGCCTAATAATCTGCATTCAACAAAATAGTGCCCAGTGAAGGACTGGGAAATTATCAACCCTCCTCAACACTTGAATTATTCCTTAATCTCATTGTTATCACCAAACAAAAGAATATTTTGCATGAGTTTGAAATCACTATGCCATGATTTGTATTTAATGCCTTCCCCGAATTGGAAGAAATGAGGTGCTTTATGAAAATTTCACACTGAGCTATGAGTTGCAAAAAAGAATTAAACAAACAAGGTATTAGCTTGTGACAACCGTACAACACATCTCTAATAAAAGGATAAGGACTGACTTGCGTATTTCAGAGTATGTGTAAAGGTGAGATGAGGTCATGGATATGAAAGTCTTTTCTAAGTAACAAATAAATGCAATTTTCTTCATATTCAGGTAAGAAATATATGTGCGAAATAAGAAATTTTTTTAGTGGGGAGAATACAGCTACGTGGTGGAGCTCCGGCCTAGCATGCACAAGTTCCCGGGTTCAATCTCCAGTACTTCCATTAAGAAATAATAAATAAGTAAATAAATTTAAAAAAACTAATTACTTCCCACCCCCAAAACAAAAACAAAATAAGAAAAAATCTTTTAAAGGTACAATGTGACCTTAATTCACATTAAAAATATGTACGATATATACCATTTTTCCCAAGTGAAAACAGTTTTATTAACTCCTCTCTTCTCCTCTTAAGGCCTATTTCTGATTTCCATCTCTCCACCCCACCTTTTCAAGCACCTGTGGCTGCACTAGATCTACAGGGCATGGACAGAGGATGGGCAGCAGACAAGGGAAGACTGACTGGGCCACGGAGAGCCCGTGTGCATGTCCTGGGGCTGGAACTCATTGTCTTCCCACATGGGGCACATGCTTACATTTTAAAGAATAATCACCAACGTTACACATTCATTCATTTATTCAACAGCTATCTATTGGTTATTTGAAATGAGTGAGCCACTTTTCTAGGCTCCTGAGATACTTCAATAAACAAAACTGAGAAATTCCCTGCGCTCCTTAAATTT